ACTGGAGAAAGCAAATGTTTCAAAGAGTTACTGTAAAAGGAAACCGGACTTCCAAAGTATACAGTGGCTGCACCCCACAGTTGATATCAGCCAGAGGATAGAACAACTCAAAAAAGCAGTGCAAGATCAGAAAATGTGGAGAGACCTGGCTCATCGAATCTCTAAGAGTCAGACAAGACTGAAGGGTAACATCATCATCATTTCATCTTCATCATTCTTTAATAGAAAATTTATTAAATACAGGAAAATAGAGTTTTATACAGTATGTGCAGATGCTAATAAAAAGATGATTCATATATGTTGTCTGCTGAAAAAGATAAATGTTGTCAAAAGAAACAAAAACAATATAAGCATGATATACTCACTTGGTTATAAGGGTTGAGTCTGCCAATAGAAACATAAAAGCTAATCACAGTGGCTATATATAATGGAAAAGTTAATGGGTCAAAAATAAAGAGAAAACCAAGAAAGATCTGAATGAATGCAGTTGATGAGAGTTAAAAAAAAAGTTTAAACCACAAAAGGTAATATATGAAATAGTATAAGGGTATGTGGAAGCAATGATGATTTCAAGCACTAAAAATGTAATAAATGATGTTGGTGAAAACTAAATTTAGATTCTGGACGGTTCCCAAACTAATAAAACCACATACTGTATATTATAAATTTTTAAAAATTAAATGTAATAAATAATAATTGCCAACACTAGAGATCCAACTGAAAGAGATCCAGATAATGTTCCTCCTCCTGGACCCCCTGCAGCTGGGGTGAAATGCTCCCAGTTCGGACCAGATCGGGCGATCCAGTAGCGATTGTGGCAGGTGGTTCAGAGAACCGGTAGTGATAGCAATGCGAGGCTCTGCCCACCCACCCGGGTGTCATTACTTCCTGGTTTTAACCATGAAGTAATGTGTTTTTTACCCTCCCCACATGTGCAGAAGGTTTTGTGCATGCACAGAGGGTCTGTGCACGCGTAGCGCAAGCACTTCCAAACCGGTAAGGAGGGTAAGTAGATTTCACCCCTGCCCTGCAGCTAATGCTGTATTGCCATCTCCAAAACTTTCCCCCAAATAGGAGACCACAGATAGTGCTGAAGTTGCTTTTGAAATTATACATCACATTTTGTCATATAGTTCTCCAATCCAAAATTTTATTTTATAGGTATAGAAAAAAAGAATACAGATCTGTACATATTTACAAATATATAAAAGTATTTTACATCAGAGAAAACTACTTGCAGAAATGTAGATAAGAGGCAATACTACATAAAATAAGATCTATATTAGTGGAACTGCAGAAAAATTAAGCTATTTGTTGAAACCTTTATAAAAAGTTTTTAAACTAAAAGAGCAACAGGACAAATCAAATTTAAGATTACAAAGTGAGAAACTGGAACTGGCAGTTTATTCAATTCCAACACCCAGCATGAGTTCATAGGCTTACAGCTTTTAGTGTACTTGTCATCAAGTATCTAGATAAACTAGATTTGAGCACACAGTTATGCTCTATGGCCATTGCCAAGTGCTGTAAAATTACTATGTAAATTTTCATTACATTTATCACAATGCACATGGGAGATTTTAAGGGATCATTATTATTGCTGTTTATCGGTTTATAAGCAGCATAATGTACCTGCATGTTGAAGCAATTGCTTTCAAAAGAGAAATATGTCCCAATCCCATCTAAGAGATTTTATGGGAAACTAAGAAGCTTGAAACTAACAGTAATGGATCTCACCACAAATGCATTTATTTTTCTTTATTTGCTTCTAATCAGAAAACATCCAGATCCATCTGGAATTGTCTATCACTCCATTCTAATTGGTGCTAAAACCTGTCATAAAATTGTCATTATTATACTAATAATGTTAATTCAATTTATTCTATTCATATATAGGAACTATACAATTCTATTTTTAATATAGTTCTTATATAAGTAAAACAAATGGTTGGAAAAAACAAAAGATTAATTAATTCTGAAAGATAATTATGTATCTATGTATAGTTCTAGCTGCAGTTTCAGTATCATTAACATTCTGGTTACATTTCCAAAGACCAACTTCAAAATACTTTTTTTAAAAAAACAACCACCTTTAATAATTCAGTTGAGACTATAATTCTTACCATTTTCTATCTGAAAGCATCTGGCTTCACAAATAAACTTCTTGAAGGCAAACAAATATATGGGTTAGAATACAGAGTGAATATTCCTGGAATAATCAGGTTCAGAAATTATTGTAAAAGAATGTATATAAGAAACCACAGAGCCATTTAATACATTTTTGTTTGCTTGCTTCTAGTCAGGAAACATCCAGATCCATCCTGTCTAGCAGTGGACAATTTTTTATTTTCCCGCCATGTTTTCTATTCAGAGAGTTTGCCTGTGATCTTTCTAGAGACTACCTCAGTTAAGCATATCTTGTTTTCATCCTAATCAGACTAAGGCTACATTTGCACTTGTATCTTGCTCCACTATTTGATGGAGGCAATCATTTCTGAAAGACATAAATAGATGATGTTGTCCTCCAATGATTCTCCTCTTGCCCTTAAAGTAGCTTTTGCATCCATTTTCTTACTGGGCTTTTAAGCTAATATCTTTAGCCAAAGTTTCCTGAACTGTGGAGGTCCCTATTTGTTCAGGTGTATGTTTGTGTTTCTCAACCTTGGCAACTTTAGGATGCTGGCTACAGAATTCTAGTAGTTGAAGTCCATGTATATTAAAATTGCCAGGGGTTTGAAAACACTAGAATATGGGATAAAGCCAGCTGTTCATTGGCTGCTGAACAGAACAGTATAAATGCTCCCTCATGCATATTTATTCTCTCTCCCAACTAGCCATTTTCTCCTAGATGTCAAAAGTTAATATAGGTTCACAATGCAAAGAGCAAGAATGAACCACAATGAGAAGATCTATGAACACCCCAGAAAAATTGGAATGCTAATTTATATGTTTTTAACATGAAGATCATTGTCCCAATATTTCACTGTTGACCTTTTTCAACTTTTCTGTGAATACTGCCTCACAGGAAGGTCAGCATGATGATTGATGGGTAGGATTGGAATGGCATCTTCTGTGATAATCTGAATTTTAAGGATTTGCCAATCCATTGAGTTTGGATATTATGCTTAAGGCTTTGTAGTTCAGTTACAATGACCAGAGAGGAACCACTTAATTATTAGATGCAGATATAGACAGTTGCAGCATCCCAAATTAAATACCATCCAGATGAATGATCTTCAATTCCCAGAATTCCCAGTCAGTACTGGGGGAAAAAATTCAGACAATTGTAGGAATGAAATCCACATAATTTAAGAGCCAAAATAATGAATTGGATGTCCAGTTTTCTCTTAAGTCTTTAGTGAGGATGTATAGGGATATATAGTTACTTTTCACAGTTTCTGCCAACCTAGCAGTTTGAAAGCTTGTAAAAAATGCAAGTGGAAAAATAGGGACTACCTTTGGTGGGAAGGTAACATCGTTCTGTGCGCCTTTGGCATTTAGTCATGCTGGCCACATGACCACAGAGACATCTTCAGACAGCCCTGGCTCTTTGGCTTTGAAATGGAGATGAGCACTGCCCCCTAGAGTCGGGAACGACTAGCACATATGTGCGGGGGGAACCTTTACCTTTACCTTATAGGGCCAAATTTCATGGTAATTTAAAGACATACTGTATGATTCAATGTAATTTTATGATGGATCTATGGACTGATATAAAATTTGACCTGTGCTATTGTTTACTTAGCAGGCAGATTTTACTCTGGCACATTTATATCCCATTTTTAATTTTTAAAAAATCTAGACATTTGTTTATTGATCTTTTAGAGACAGAAAGCTTCTGAATATTTCAAAAGATCATGGCCCTTATCTCTTTCTTTGTTTTGTAGTGAAAATATCTCTTGTGCCCAAAGCAAATAGCTTTCTTCTCTTTTGCAGTACTTCTGCAGGATCTAGCCACATAGGTACATGATTTTCCATTCTTCTATGGCAGGCTTCCAAAACCTGGACTACACAAGATATTTTAGACTGAACCTTTAATCAACCCCCCTCTCCCAATTCTCAATGGCCAGAGGGTAACATTCCTCATCACTTGGCAACCTGTTTCTTTAATACTATTTATCAGCAACTCTTCCATGGCACAGAATGTCTTGTATTTTGTCTTGTATTTAAAGCAATACTTCATAAACAAGTCAGCATCTTTCTAGTCCTAGTTTCAACTATCTATCCAAAATATACAATCCACAGAGAACAGAATGCTAGTGTTTGGGTATCTGCCAAAAATCTAGCCTTATGAATTATTCATGGAAACTTTGAATCTAGAGATTATTTGACACCTACTTTTCACTACAGCTACTTGGTTTCTCTCTCTCTCTCTCTCTCTCTCTCTCTCTCTCTCTCTCTCTCTCTCTTTCTTTCTTTCTTTTTCTTTCTTTCTTCATTCTGTGTGTGTGTGTGTGTGTCTATCTGTCTGTCTCTGTGTGTGTGTGAGAGAGAGAAAGAGAGAGAGAAAGAGAGAGAGAGAGAGAGAGTTCTTTTTCAAATCTTTTTTCTAAACTTTGTGAAAATAAAAGCAAAATAACTATTAGATGACTGCTTGAATTGTTATATAAATTGTTGAAACTGGCAGTACTGTGCTCTTTTCCAAAGAATTATCTTTCCTAAAAAAAAAAAAAGCCAACATTTTTAGATCACCTTTTATCAAAAGTTTTGCAAAAAAGTACAAAAACTAACGCAAACTTTAAAAAGATAAAAACAGCAAAAAAAAAAAAGATGAAAAAGAAAAAAGAATAAAAAGAAATATAAAGTGTAGCTTCCAATTCTCTTTTGCAACAAATACAATTACAAAATTATTTTGTCCTCTATGTTTAGACCATTTTTCAGTTATAAATCAGTTATTCAAAATTATGTTATCTCTGGTAACCCTTAATGGACTGCTGATATCAGGGCTGAATGGGTGAGGCTTTATGGATTTGTTTATAGATAAGACATGGGATACAGGAAGAAGTGATCATTTGTTGTATTTTAAGAGATAAATTAATAAAATTGTTTTTACGATCAAGAGGGAAGTCACTTTTTATATGTTTTTTCTCTTTACTATATTCTTATTTTTTTTCTTTCTCTTCTCTTTCTGTTTCTGTTTTCTCGCTCCTGTTCATGTGAGTCAGAGCAGAAGATATGCAATTCACCTGTGGTTTCTTGTGCACACATACAGATAATGGGCATATACTGTACAACAAGAAGAGAAAAAAGAAGAGTATGATATATTACATTGATATACAGAAGAAAATACACATTACTTCTATAGGCATTGGACAGAACAATTCAAGTGGCCATGTTCTGTATGCTTTTCTTAAGTTGCTTTTTATATTATTTCTGAGGGCCATGGTAGATTGAGCAATGATGCTGTGATTTCATTAGAAAGACTGAAAACATGGGGGGAAAGGACAGGTTTTTTTTTTTTGTTTTTTTTTAAAAAAGAAAAGAAATCCAGCAGGACCAGGAGAGTTGCATTCCCCCTGTTTTGGTCCTGCCATTGATTATCCACAAGAGCAACCATTTGTACTTTCTATCCCATACCATCCTTGTAGAAATTGATCCAGGTACTTTATTATAGTCAAGCCCTTCTGCTATTGTAGTTTTAGTACTCTTCATAGAGATTGGACAACAATTATACAGGATATGAGGTGGGTGGGTTCTACTTACCTTTACTACTGGTTCGCAGTGGGAGCATGTGCGCTTCTGCGCATGCGCAGATGACCCATGATGATGTCGTGGCAGGTGGGTGGAGCCTCCCACCGGTTTTACTACAGAACCGGGAGCAACCCAACACTGATATGAGGGTTGATTAATTACTTTTTGCGATGGAGATGTATCTCCTCTTTTAAGGCTGATTATGTAACACATTCACTTAAGAATGGTTTAACAACTACACCTGACCTCCTGCCTTCTTTGAATACCTTTTGCTAACTAGGTGAGACAGAGATCTAATCCACAATTAGCAGAGCTAAATTAACAGAAAACCTTGTTCATTTCCATAATCATTAACCACAAGCTCAAACTAATTCAAATATCCTCACAGGATGAGGCCTTTGTCACTCTTCTAGAATTGCTCAACCAATGGCCCAGTTCTTCTGACAGTGCAGGTTTATGTAACTTTATGTTGGCTATTCATGGATGCGATAAAGTTAAGAAGCGAGACCGCTTCTTAACTTTCTTATAATCATGTTGCATTAATGATGTTGATATCATGATATATTTTTATCCAGGTGGTGGATTCTACTTACCTTTACTACAGATTTGTAACAGGGGCACGTGTGCGCGCTCACTTTGTGGGCACAGAAGCATCTGAGCATACGCAGAAGCATTTTGATGACGTCAGGGTCAGTGGACGGAGTGCTGCCGGTTTTACTACTGGTTCTATAGAACCGGTGCGAACCGGGGGCAGCCTACCACTGCTTTTATCATGGTTTTCTTTACCTCTCTTCGATCAAAGCAAAACACTCCTAAATTTTATAGTTTTCCTCATAGGAGAATTGCTAAGCATTCTGGCTAACACTCTGGCTAGCTTTCCAGTTCCAGCTTTTTGAAGATATGAAAATAATTCTATACAGTATTTTAAGTGTAGTATAAACAGTAGAATTCTAGAAGAGGCATTCTAGAAGTGGCATTGTTACATCGGTTTATCTTTATTCCTAAATTCTTTATGCATATAATTTCCTTCCTTCCTCCTTCCTTCCTTCCTTCCTGCCCTCCCCTTCATAGCACTTACCGTATTTTTCGGATGCACCGGAATATAAGATGCACCTACCTTTTTTGGTGAGGAAAAAAAGAAAAAGAAATCTCCCTCTGCCTCTGAGCAATTTGCCTCATTGCAGCAAACAGCAAACAACCTGCTTTTACTTTCATTTTCATTTTCAGCATAGCTTGATTAGCACAAGGAAAAAAAAAATCTGCTCCAGCAATTTACCTCTTTGCAGCAAGCAGCAGAGCCATGCGCAAAACAGCTGAGACCAAATTAGCTGAGAGTCGGGAGGCCGATCCAATCAACTTGTGCTAATTAGGCTGTGCTGAAGCTGAAAGGAGCTGTTTTTTCTTGCTGTTTGCTTGCAAGGAGGTAACTGCTGTGAGGCAGAGGCCAAAGGGTGAGGGCCAGTGGGTGGGTGGGGCTACATTCGGTGTATAAGATGAAATTTTCACCCCCTTTTAGGGGGGGGGAAAGGTGTGTCTTATACTCCAAAAAATACGGTATCTGTTCAATTTTCCCTATGAGTCTGCAGCAACTCTATAGACATTTGAAGATCCATTAGTCTTATTTCTTAAAAATATTTAGCCAGAACAGAATAAATCAGTCTAATGAATCTGGTAAACATGTTAGATTTCAGTTCCTTTAGGCCATGGGTGTCAAACTCAGTTTCACATTGCCGTCACATGACATTTTGTGATTTCCCCCCCTTTGGGAAGTGGGATGGGTGTGGCCTGCACATGATGCATCTGGGCCATGGGCCACCAGTTTGACACCCCCGCTTTAGGGTTTATAAGAACTGAAATCCAGAAGTCATGAAATTAGGAATGGCTTTAGACATACATTTTTACCATCTTGATATACAGAACCAGTGGTGATGAAACAATTATCTGGGACATACTGCAATCAGAAAACATTTTAACAGCTTTGAGCTGTTAAAGCACTTCCATCACATTAAATAAGTGCAGTTTACACTTGGATGTAAAGCCATTAATTTATTCTTTACTAGTTATTGAGTTTTTGTAGATTAATGTGTTCCAGCATGTCAACTGCCATAATGATACTATATCACCATGTCATACATGTATGCCTGAAATCTGATGAATAGTCTACTCATCAGATTTCAACTTTCTAAAATGGTGACGGTCAAGTAGAGACTTAAAATATGACAGGAAAATCTGCACGGTAACTGAAGGGATGTTCAGTTCTCATTTATACATTTGTACATGAGGTTTTGCCTCTAATAAAATGGAAATGACAATCAAGCAGCTGTGACCAGCATATAAAACAGCTGAAATGCCATTGACTTGAATGCATTAAGCCTGCTCCATGCTGTGCGTGAATTAAGAAACTGCTACTAAAGTTCTCAGCATGACCAGACCCTAAATGAGGCAAAACTTGAAAGAAAGCATTTTCAATTTCCAGTAGTCAGATTTATTTATATTTCATTGCAAGAAGGAGTTTTCAAAATGTCCAAGAAACACAAACATATAACTCATTTGTGGACACAGGTGAGTCATTAGAAGAGGCAGGAATCATCTCAGGTAGGGTTTTTTTCTTTTCAGGCAAATATCAATGTGAACCTACAAATTAAAAAATGTTTTTTTAGAAGGAAATTCTTTGATATAGGCTAAGTAAAATAGAAGAGGGCACACTAATGAAGCCATAAAGAAGCAGACCTTCACTGACAAGAAATAAAGAAAGCCTATTTTAAGGAAAAAAAAATAATGTAAAACAGTTTTAGCTAAGGATCTATGATTAATGAAAAGAAGAAACCAGATATGGCGGCTACCCATGGATAATAATGCTATCATTATCTAGCTAGTAGCATTATCTACTTGTTATTCTCTTCCATTATTTCTTTTTATATTTGTATTTATTTGTTTGTCAAACATGTACAGGATAGCAGGTATAAATATAAACATGGATATGAACAAAAAAATGAATACAAATAAATGGGGAAAGTAGAACAGGGATGGTAGGCACGCTGGTGTGTTTATGCACGTCCCCTTTACAGACCTCTTAGGAATGGGGTGAGGTCCACAGTAGACAGTTTAAGGTTGAAGCTGTGAGGGTTTGCGGCTGTAACAATGGAGTTGGGTAGACCATTCCAGGCATTGACCACTCTGTTGCTGAAGTCGTATTTTCTGCAATTGAGTTTGGAGCGGATTACCTTGAGTTTGTACCGATTGTTTGCCCATTTATTATTGAGGTTGAAGCTAAAGAAGTCATTGACAGGTAAGATGTTATAGCAGATAATTTTGTGTACTCTGCTTAGATCATATTGCAGGCGGAGCAGTTCCAGATTGTCCAAGCCCAAAATTTCAAGTCTGGTGAGATAGGGAATTATATTGTGAGTAAAGGAATGGAGTTCTTGTGAAGTACCTCTGGATCCATTCAATTGTATTAATGTCTGATATACAGTGTAGATTCCAGGCAGATGAACTTTATTCGAGAATTGGTCTGGCAAAGGATTTGTATGCCCTAGTTATCAATACAATGTTAGAATTGCAAAATTAGGTTAACAACTCTTAATGCCTTTTTGGCAATGCTAACCCATTGCCAAATATATAAATGTTATATCGTTTATTATATCTAAAAATTTAAGAATGGTTTACAACTGAGTGATAAAATATATGTTTTGATGCATTTCTGGTTCAATCTTTCTAGTAGCTGCTGAAAAAAAAATCAGGTAACCAATGAAGGAAAGGACTTTTGCAGAAACCCATCCCAGTCAGGGCATGTACACTAGAATAAATGGATTTACAAATAGTGGGACATCATAGTACATAAGTATATTTAATTTTACCAAATCTATTATTATGGTTCGTCTCACAATCAGCCAGATGTTTACACTAAATTTTGCATTTTTATCCATCTATTGAATCTTATTCAAGGATCTGGGATAGGCAGATGTTATTTGATTGTGTTAAAAGATGTAAGCTGTTGAAAGTAAAATATCTTTTGTAATTGACTGATAGTGATTTCTGTCAATGCCAGTGATATTCAAGTAGTTTGGAAATTCATTTATTTTGAGATAGCATCGAAACCTGACATAGTGTTTCAAGTGTTTTGGGATTGCATCCAAAGAACCTATCATTATTGGTACTAACTTTGCTTTCTTTTGCCAAAGTCATTCTACTTCTATTTTGAGAATTTTGTATTTTGTTATTTTCTCAGTTCTTTCTCTTCTCTTTTGCTGTCTCCAGCTACTGCAACATGCACTATCTAGATTCTTTTGTCTTTCTTATTGACTCTAAATCCCAGACCCACCTTAGCTTTGTCTGTTTTGTGATCCTACCAGTTCTTGTTTATGAAGTTGTAGGTAAATAATATTTCTTGTAGATATTCCAAGGCACAATTTTTGCTACTTTGTCATGCTATTGTTTGTAGTCAGTCTGTGTGATCTTCTTGTAGGTAGTTCACTGTTCTTCAGCTTCTTTGCAGAGGCGACACTTGCTGTCTGTCACTGTCTTCTAAATTCTGGCTTTGTAGATGCATTTGTTTTTAAAATTTGGTCTTGTGCAGCCAGAATTAGCCTTCTATCTCTTTCTTCAACTTTCCTGCTTTTCACTATTGCCAAGTCTTGTTCTTATCTACTTGTTTTCCTACTTTTTAATGTATTGGCCATATAATACTTTGTCTTGCCATATCTATTTTCTATTCTTCATTTGGTTTTTCTTGTCAGTTTGGTCTCATCGTTATTCAGTAAACTTTCATAGTGTTCTAGCTTCGATGCATCTTCTTCACTGTCCTTCGGCTATTCTTCCAATGGCCTTTCTTCTTTTTCAGCTTCTTTTTCAACATTACACACTGACCTATGCTCCTTGGTAAGAAGAGTCTGTCAATATCACTGGGTGGGTGAAAGGCATATTCATTGTCATTATTGTTTTGTTCTTCCTATCCAGGATTCCTAATTCTGTTGAGTCCAGTTTACTATTCCAGCTGTGTGTTCAATGACTGCAATTGCCCAAGTGTTAATTGCTTAATGGTATTTCCTCCACTGAGTTTGTATTTTAAGATCTTTTTCATTGTGATGTATTCACTTGTAACGTTCTTCTTGACTTCAGGCTGCTTGATGTTGTCAGTTTGAAAGATGCTCAGGTATTTGTAGTGATTTTATCCAGGCTCTTAATGTTATTATTTTTAGTAGGATGATTATGCAAAAATGAGCATAATGAATCGCCATATGCCATATGGTACCAACAAGGAGATAAATAAGTAGCCACATGTTTTCAGCAGCATTTCTCTCTGATTCTCCTGATTAAAAAACAAAGACTACCCTGTTATATCTCAGTCTGGTGTAGTATTCCAAGACATAAATATTTATGATTAACTCTCACAATGAACATTATACTCATTATCCATAATATCTATGTTCTAATTCTTGGTTAATTCCTGAATTTCTTATGGTTATGGGATATGCAATTTTTTTTAGCAACAATAGGAAAAGGTAAAGGTTCCCCTCGCACATATGTGCTAGTTGTTGCCAACTCTAGGGGGCAGTGCTCATCTCCATTTCAAAGCCGAAGAGCCAACGCTGTCTGAAGACGTCTCCATGGTTATGTGGCCGGCATGACTAAATGCCAAAGGCGCATGGAACACTGTTACCTTCCCACCAAAGGTGGTCCCTATTTTTCTACTTGCATTTTTTTTTACATGCTTTTGAACTGCTAGGTTGGCAGAATGAACAACAATAACAGAGGTTAATTCATAATTTTCTTACTCCTGAATGTTAGCATTTAAAGTATACGATCATGGTACAAACATTTTTCATCATGTTCTGAGTTACAGAAGCCAGAAAATTACATTCGGTGTTATTAGCAGCTCACTCTTCTCACCTGGAAATTCTCACTTTGTGCAAACTTGCTTTGAACTATGCATAAAACTATGCTACACCACAGATTATTCTGGAAACTCTGCTGACATTTTCATGTTTTTCAATATTGGTTTGTTATGGATCATAAAGATCTGCTTTAATGACTTTGAAAAGTAGTTCCAACAAATTACATTCCATTTTTGCTGAGTACTAACTTATGTAAATCATATTTACATTTCATATATTTTTCATATACTACTTCTACTCATGCATTTGTCTAAACATTCACCTATAAAGCAGCAAATGAATAGTTGCTTAGACATTATTTTCCTACTATTCTAAATATAAAATATTCATTTGAAAGTCCAGATTTGATATTACTCACAAAATTATAAGAACATCGAAACAAAGTGAGAAATAAATTCATTTAAAGGTGTATCAGGATAAAAAAATGAAGTTTGTCCTTTTAGTGATTTTACAAGAACAAAATAATTTGCCCTCACATTAATCCTTGATTGCCTAAATTTGTGCAAGCAAACAAGAGGAAGGATTATCCTCATTTAATTCACTTTGTTTGCTTTTAGTGACAACAGCATATGGGTTGAACTAGATTACATCCACAAAATGACTAAAATTAAAGCCCAAACAGTTGATTAAATGCAGCACCAGCTGAATTGTTTCAAATCTGTCAAGATTATGTGGTTAAAGGGTTGCATATGATTTGTAAGCAGCCATGAAAAAATATATCTGTGGGCAATGGATTTGAAAAGTTGATTTTATAGCCCCCAAATGGACAGTGTAAAGGAATACTCCAACTACTGAACAACTGCACTTATCTCACAAGTTAAGATGTCACTTTTCAAGATTTTGCAATCCATATTTCAAAATAAATGGAATGAGAGCTGCCAGATATGCAAGCTAGATTCAGAGGAGGCAGAGGCCCTGGACCTTGCTAATACACAGTGGATAATAAAAAGGCAAGGGAATCCCAAAAGGACATTTAGTTTTGCTTTACTGAATATTTTTTTATTATGTACATGACAACAGATTATGAGTTGCTCTTAAAAATATGGAGGTTCTGGGCTACCTGATCTGTTGACTGAAGAATTTATATAAGCACCAGAAAGTTACAGTTAGAACCAAATATTGAACAAATAAATGTTTTAAAATTGGGAAAAGAAATTAAGTTGTACAAATTATTTTTTTTTACATATACAAAATATATTGTGAGGGATGCTAAAATAAATAGAAATTGAATTAAAATTGATGAAAAAAAGCATTGAAAACCTCAAATAAGTTGTTGAATCAAGACTTACAGTGGTTTATTTTTAAAAGAAGAAATATAAAAGCTATTTGCTGTTCAATATTAAAAAGTGTAACTTTATGTCAACAAATAATGCCACGCAAATGTACACAGGCAGATGAGTTGTTGAAGCAGTCTTTATCTTCCTATCCTCAAAAATTCATGGGGATGGGGACTGCGAGATGAAGATACATCTGATGGGTAGCACTAAGATGTACACAAAATATTGAAATGCAAGACATCACATTGACAACAAACAAGGCCATGGTTTACATATGGCTATGAAACTGGGCAATCAAGAAAGCTGAATGAAGAAAAATAGATGGCTTTATATTATGATGCTGAATAAAATTGTTGAAAGTGTCTTGAACTGCAAGAAGAATAATTTATTAAATATTTGATGAAATGAAACTATACTATTTATGTAATATATTATGTAATTGGAATTGGATTTGTAAACGTGTAGAAGAGGTTAAGTATGTGTATATAATTGGTAAGTAGTAATGTATATTGAACACATAAGAGACTTGTGTTATACTTTGTATGGCAGAGATATCGCCAAGATGGTTCCACCATGTCCAATTTTTTTTAACAATAAAGGTTTTTTTTTTAAAGAAACTATACTATTTAGAGTTTTAGCTAATAACAAAGTATTTTGGACACAAAATGTATAGGCAAAATTCATTGGAGGAGGTAGACATTTGCAAAAATTAGACTTCAATTGAAAAGAATTGGATAAGAGGTAAGCTGACATATATTAGAGTGGTAAAATATTCCTGAGTATAAGAACAGAAAGAATCAACCACTGACAGACAATCCTAACAAAATTATATCCATCAGATCATGGAGAGTCAGAAAAGACTGGATTTCAGGGAAAGATGGTGGATTGAAGGTGTCTCCGTAAAAAGTAGAGCTGATATTTCTGACTATGAACAAGGAGTTGACAAGTAAATCAGTTCTTCTATCCCTTTCTGAACAGAGAGAGAATATGAGATTGTCCAAATTGTGCTCCACATATTTGCTTCTCACAAGGAGACTGCAAAGCAGCAATTTCTGAGAACCAGGAGCTGGTAGAATTTGCCAAGCTTGTTCCAGTCAGAAATGGAACCTAACAAAGAACAAAGAAACCCTTCCCATGCTAATAACATCCAATAATTGCCTGCTAATTGCTTTAAAGAAATTAGACACCTTCAAAATGACAAAGCTCAAAATACCAGGTGAGATCCTTCAATTCTTAATAAAAGAAAATGAATATGCATCCTTATAATATTTCAAAATTACTGCCCAAACAGCAAAAAGCAATAGAAAGTTTTGTCAATAGAAAGTTTTAAATTGATTAAGGGCTCAGAGAACATTGGAATACTATATTTTGACTATTAAGATTTTGAAATTAATTTTAAATATAAATATATTTTTGTGGGAAAGAAAAACTGTTCTTAGTATTGGAGAACTAAAAGCGGGACTTGTTTTATTTGATGAAGTTGAAATGGAAAATGCTGATACTTTGGATGGTTCTTTTGGGATTTGCTGACATCTAGATGGCATCTAGATGGCAAAAATGTTGTGTATAAATGGTGTTATAATTTATATAGTACATGTTAGCTTACACTTAATTTTTTCCCTCTACTGTTACTTATTTATTCTAATCTGACAGCATTTAAATTGGCTTTGTATCTAACTGTCCTTTCACATAAAGCAAGGATTTTTTTAATGAGCTTGTTCTCTTTAAAGGAGAAATTATCCCTCTTTGTCATGTTAAATTTCAGTCTTTTGTTCATACAATGATACTGGGACCTTCCCCGTATCCTTCTAAATGTGGATTTGCTTACAGTTAAGATTTGTGATGTGGAATTCTATGTTTTATATCTGTTAATTGCTGTTACTATTTTAGTGCTGTGTTTGGACTTTTTGCTGACACATGGATTGGGGATTTATTGGATTTGCCTATATTAAGAGATGAGTTAAGGGTTGAAGAGTTTATGTTAATTAAGAGGATAGTGAAATTGTTTATACTTGTTGTGATGAGGGGGAGAAGTTGCTTTCTGAAGGTTTTTCCTTTTTGGTTTTCTTGCTTCCACCCTTTTCTTTATTTCTGTTTCAATTATCTTTTGTTATTGTAATTAACATTTTTCATAAAATTATTAAAAATAAAAATCAGAAGTGACTGAAGATCTCCCTCCTCATACTGGATACTGCTAATAGGAGTGAGAATGTCTCATCCATTTAGTACTTGACATAGTAGTAGTTTACTGCTCTTACATGTTTATCATAGTACAACAGTCAAATCTTTATTCCAATCAATCTTTTTTGAATGCCATATAAATGCCATAGAAAGAAAGTTCTGCTCTGCAAAATGCAAATTGTTATAATCTGTCCAAATTTATTTTATCCAAATTCTACTTCCAAGATCATTCTTTAGAGGAGGTGTTGGAAATCACACAATGTGAGTCTATAATCCATACGCTAATAGTACGGCTCATTTGTTTATTCTAAATATTGTTTTTCCATTACAAAATAAACAGTTGCAACTCTCAGAAAAGATCAAATAATAAACTAAACAATTCAGGTCCAAAGAGGAATTCAGAACTTTAATCTATGCTAAAAGCTTTGTGAAATAACAAACAAAGACAATCTTAGCAGTTCTGCTTCAAATTTGAAAGAGGAAGCAAGCCAGCTGAATTTAGGATGAACTGAACTTTGATCCTTTCTCAGCTGTCCAACATACAGCAAGTCCATCAAGCTGCATAGTAGAGTGAGATTATAGACTTTGAGCTGTTCCTTCATATCTATTGAAAAACCAGTTACCTTGCCTCTCCCCCAAATCTAATCTAATCATCAGCTATTCTGTTATGGTGCTTGAACTGCTTTTATCCCAGATGAAGACTTTTATCCCAGATGGGACATTTAAGACTGATGCCTGATTTTCTATTTTTTCTCTTCAGGAAGTGACTAAGGCATAAGTGACAGATCCAAACCTCCTAGTTCAAGAAAGGCCATAATTGGTTCGTGAAATGAAGTTAGGTGAAAGTACCCTTGGTTATGGTTGTCACTCTTCAAGCAAGGACCATGAGTCCAGGAGAATTTCCAAGGTTGTATACCAATTCTGTTGAGAAAGTACAACCCTATCCAGAACAATGGCAAAGCATTGGAGGAAAATTAAATCACATAACCATTTTGTATTTCCAGGGTTCTTCCCAGTGGTGAAATGTAAAATTTGTTACTATCGGTTCTGTGGGCGTGGCTTGGTGGTGGTGGGATAATATGACTGAGTGGGCGTGGCTTTTTTTTTTTTTTACTTTTAAAACCATTTTTTCTACAACCTCTTCGGTTGAAGAGGTTGTAAAAAAATGCTTTTAAAGCCTCTGACGATCCCAGCTGACTTGCCTGATCGGCAGAGGCTTTCTTTTTCCCTTTTAAAAGCATTTTTTCGGTCAAAGAGGTTGTAGAAAAAATGCTGTTAAATTTTTTTTAAAAAGCCTCTAATGATTGTGTGGCTCAGCTGGGCAATGTCAACTGACGACCCCCAGGGGGAGAGCCTTCTCTGTGGGGGCACCCGCCCTCTGGAATGAGCTACCCCCAGGAATACGACTGATCCCGGACCTCCGTACTTTCCGCCGAGCTTTGAAGACTTTCTTATTTCAGAAATCCGGGCTGGCTTAAAATTTTAATGGGTTATTTTATGGGTAAAGGGTTTTAAAATTGGGGAAGCCAAACTGATTTAATTCTGTTTTAACTTATTTTAATTTTTATATTGTATGTATTTTAATCTTGGCTGTTCATCGCCCTGAGTCCTTCGGGAGAAGGGCGGTATACAAATTTAATAAATAAATAAATAAATAAATAAATAAATAAATAAATAAATAAATACATACATACATACATACATACATACATACATAAATAAATAAATAAAGGGAGGGGCAGGGATTTTTGCTACCAGTTCTCCGAGCCACCCACCTCCATCGCTACCGGATTGGGCGATCCGGTCCAAACCGGGAGTATTTCACCCTGGTTCTTCCCCATCTAGCCCTCACAGTCTCCAGACACAGAGATAGAACCCCCATGGCATTATTTGGGTGAGATAAAGATATAAAGTTCACGTCACTTAGTAGATTCATGTAGATGTTAAATAGAGATGAGGCCTTGTGAGACCTCACAGAGAAGGGACCATGGACTAGCTGTGTCCCCACCACCAATAAAACTGATTGGAACCAGCATGATAGAAAGGAAGAGAAGCATCATGAAACCATGCCTCTCAGTCCCAATCCCTGAAATTGGTTTATAAGGATACCATGACGAGTAGTTCTGAAAGTCACTGAAAGATCAAGAAGACTCAGGATGGATGCAACTTCCCATCCTTTTCCTGCCAGAGGTTATTCCACAAGTGCAACCAATTCTAGTTTACTCTTATGGCCAGGCTTGAAACCTGAATGAAAGGTCACAAATAATCCATTTTGTGGAATCCTTTGTGTTCTCTGAGTTTGATTGTTTGCTTACAGGCATTTCATTACTGGACTATATAATATCATTAGTGCTACTGAGTATGGGGTTTGTTCCCTGTTTATATATAATATCTTGCTCTGCCCATTGGTGTGGCCTTTTCCATGGTAGTTAGCAGGGCAAGGTACTAAACAAGGAGCAAAGCCCATGCTCAGTAGCACTGATTATGTTACCTAGACTGGTAATGAAACATCTACAAGCAAACAACCAGTCTCAAGAATACCAAGGACTCTACTGGTCCCCACTGAGCTACATATATTCTCTTCTACAATATCCATTTTGTTCAGAATTCTCTGAGACTGCTGTATGATCACTTTCTTAACAATCTTCTCTAAAATGGGAAGAAATGTGACAAAAGTTATTGAAAATGATTGGATCCAGTGATGGGGTCCTCAGAAAGAGATAAGCCACTGTGTCTAATTGTTATTGCTTACATTTACAGTATATTTGAAATCCTGATCATTATATCAACTAAATTTGGCAAATAATTTTCAAAGTTCTGATCAAAAGTTGCATGGGATGACATATCCTATGAAATTATGAATTCTTGTTTGTAGGAAGAGATAATATTCTGATGGTTGAAAGCCACACTATATTGAAGGAAAGAAAAAGTATTGTTTACTTTGCATATAGTTTTACTTTACCAATATGCATAATACTGATAGTATTATGCATTTTGGTAAAAAATATTGCTTTTTCCTCTTGAATTTTGTGAGGGGCTAAGATTTTTAAACCCTATGTTGATGCTGGAAGCATAGATTCTGTCAATTGTAATTTCAATTGCCTTTAGGAGAAAAGCAAGCAAGCAGGTGGATGCAATATATGATTTCTGCATCTGGTCCATCAATTTTCAATTGGTTTTTCATTCATTTCCCTCCCCCCACCTTGTGTGTGTGTGTGTGTGTGTGTGTGTGTGTGTGTGTGTGTGTGTAAAATTCACTGAAAACATGGTTTACTTTGCCCAATATCTCCAATTTAAGAACAACAACAAATTTTGTTGGTGGAAATTTTAGAATTTCAGAAATGAAAACTTTGGAAACCTAAAGCTGACTCAAGCATTCTTTAAATGCATTGCGTCTCATTCATCATTTTCTACTAGGATTATAATTAGAAAAGAAATGCAGCTTCTTCCTTAAATGGGTGGATATGTGAGGATTTGGAAATGAGGAAAGGAACCTAATGTGTAAATAAGTGTTAGATCAGATAGGAAGAAAGATAAAGATGAAGAGTTTTGTCATTTTGAATTAGTGAGCATGATGGGATTTCCCCCACCCCCTGGTTTGGTAGGAAACATAGGTCTGCTTAGACATTATCTAAAAGAAAGAGATATGGTTGTAACATACCGGTATGTAGAGATATGAATCATGTCTGCTGACCCTATCACCATATGTATTTTTCCTTTGATATCTCCAGACTCCATAAGTGGAACAGGAAAGGCTAAAGTCTAGTCTCTATAAATATGGAGTGCAAAGTATCTGTTTCTAAGGGAATTCACTTAGAAGTCTCCTTGAGACATTCCCACTTAATGCACAAAGCTTGGAAATATTGGAAGCAAGGCCAGTGCAAGCAAGCTGAATGTCTGAAATATAGTTGTTCACTATCAGGAATAGTTCCTGTGTTGAATTACAATTTTAGTTTAGTTAAAGCTTACTTAAAGCTGAAGATTATTTGTGAAGATTTTCTACCTGGAATTTTATGAACATTTCAGATACAGTAAGGCTATTCTCAGCCCTCATTCTTCCTGCTTTTAGAAAAGGATCCAGTATCTTTTTAAAAACATCCCCCCCCCCCATTTAACTGCTGATGTTTTCTTTTTTTCCTCCTAGCAATTTCTGAGTGCCGTCTAGGAATAAAAAGATGTATAAATCAGATGGAAAGATAGATCCAGTGTCTTATACTGCATAAAAATTAGCACTCTTCAAGCAATACATTTATGTGTAGAATTACAGCAGTATAAATGTAATATCTAAAGTATTGAACTGGAATTGTTATGATTGGGTTAGGTACAATTTTGGTGTCCAGATAAATTATTTGAATGACTAAATGGATAAGCCATGGAAACTCAATGAATAACTTTGGGCCACTCATCCTCTGTCAGCCCAACCTTTAAACAGGTTTATTGTTGTGGATGAATACCCCCCCCCCAATAAATGCTCCCTTAAGCTCCTGCAGAAAGCAACAATAACATCACATGATTTCTCCAAGTTATCCTGACACTTCTATTGAAGAAGTGCTACCATTAATTCAATATAGTTGTCTCCAATGTTGTCAGTTACCCAGTTATTACAGATAATTATGTACAGGTAGTCCTCGGCTTACAACTACTTGTTTAATGAATGTTTGAAGTTACAATGGCACTGAAAAAAGGAACTTATGATCACTTCTCACACTTATGACCATTACAACATGCCCATGGTTACCTGATTAAAATTTGGATGCTTGGCAACTGACTCATATTTATGACAATTGTAGTGTCAGGGGGTCTGTGACCACTTTTTGCTACCTTCTGACAAGCAAAATTGATGGGGAAGCCAGATTCATTTAAACAACCATGTTACTGATTGAACAACTGCTATAATTCACTTAACAACTATGGAAAGAAGGGTCATAAACTGGAGCAAAACTCACTAACAACTGTCTTGCTTAGCAACAGAAATTTTGAGCTCAATTGTGGTCATAAGTCAAGGACTACCTGCACTCTGCAGTACCAGTAGATGACTATTATTTATTCCTGCTCCTGTATAACTTAAAGAGAGGAGAGGCTGCTGGTTATCCCTTGTCAGGTGGAAAAATTAAGGAAGAATAGTGCATGCTGACTGGGTAATTCTGGCAGTTGAAGTCTTAAAAGGTTGAGAAACAGTAGCCAAGAAAATTATGTAATTTTTTTAACCAGGTGACTATTATGATTATCTCCAGTTCATTTGTTCATAATGCCATTTTTTAACCAGTTAGTATTTATGCCTAGCAAGATTGAAGAACATAGTTTATAAAGATAACTGTCTTCCTTTTGACATTTTACTTCAGCAAAATTGTTTAAGTGATAAAAAGGGCATCTCTTGTACAAACAAAATGGTGCAAATATGCTATATGCTTTTGTGCCATCTGAAATTTAGCAATGATAAACAGTCTCCTTTTAATTAAGATGTGTGAATAATTCTAAATATTGATTTCATCTCTTGAAAAAGCTTCATGTTAAAAGTCACAAAATGATTATTAATCTTATGTAGCAAGCAATGTGATAAAAATGTACAAAGAAATCAATAATAATAGGCTTGTGTGTTCCATCAAACTGGAATATTTGACTATTCATACAAAGAAAATGGGAACAAGAGAAATATAATTCAAAAGGAGAAGCTATGAACTAAGAAAGCCCAGCTAAAATTTCTTATGCATATTTTTTATCTTATCTACAGATTTAAACTGGACAACAATTTCATGATTTTGAACTATATTTAGATTTGATTTAGATTTTATTTGATTTATATACTGCCCTATTCCCGAAGGACTCAGGGCGGTGAACAGCCACACATAAAACACATAAATACAAAATTTAAAAGCAAAGTAAAACCGAATTAAACAATTTTGGCCCAAGACAGATTCAAAACACCCCAATAATTTAAAACAGATTAAAATTTACATTTTAAAAAGGGAAAAAGGGAAAAGATTAGGCCAGGCCAGCCTGATGGAATA